TGCTCATGTCTTGAGGCTTTGCAGGATGCTGAGTTTAAGAGTGGTAAACTAATTAATCTGGCAGAGGAAATTTCAAGGCAGCCCAATGTTCAGGCTGTAGATAGAGTACTATTTTCTGCTTTTAGTGAGATTTAAACAGAAACAGTAGCATAAAGTCCATTTAAAATGTTTTCAGTTTCCCCACAAAGGAATCACTTGCAAATTTGATTACTTTAAGAGCTAGGCTGCTAAAAGATTTAAAAAAAAAAAAAAAAGGCCAGTAATTTACATGAAGAGAATAGGAAGGATGCCTTGAATGAATCCCATGAAAAAGCAAGACCTCACCATTCACTATGCAAAAGTGAAAGACTTTGCTTTGAGAAGAGAGCTTCAAGATCCCCAGCTTGAAAAGGGCCAGCTAGGAAACTGATTTGCAGGGATTTCACAGTGCCCAGACATCCAGGCACTCAGAGGCCACTGTAGCTATGATTCAAGCTGGCCTGGACTGCCAAGGAGCAGGGTCACCCCAGCCCTTTGGAGTTCACATCTTTGCCCCAGATGCTGGACATAAGTTACAGGAATTAATGTCAGCTTCGTGGGTTTCAGTCTTGCTTTGGTCCCATTGGCTTCTGTCTCCCTATTCCTCCCTTTTGGAATGGGAATGTTTATGCTGTGCCATTTTATGTCAGAAGTGTTTAACTTGCTTTTTGATACTTACAGGGGCCTACAGCTCAGTTTGCCTTGAATCTAGAGAAGACTTTGTACTTTGACCTTTCAGCACAACTAAAACTGAAAACTTAGGTGACTTATAGAGACTGATTATATGCATTTTGCTAAAGAAATGTGCATGACTCTTTTGGGGGCCAGAAGTTGAATGTTATGGTTTGGATCTATGTCTCCTAAAAGCTTTAGGTGTTCAGAGACAAGACTTTTGAATAGTGATTGGACCATGGGGGCTGTAAGGCTAACTTGCTGTTAGGAGGGGCCTGGCTGGAGGCAGGTCACTGGGAGTGTGTGTCTCCCTCCCTGACTCTGCTTCCTGATCACCATGACATAAGCAGCCTTTCTCTCACTGCCCTTCCAGTTTGCCATTCCTGCCTTGGAGCAGGCTGGGATGCAAGAAGTGAAACTTCTGAAACTCTGAGCCAAAATAAGCTTCTGCTTCTTTAAATTGCTGGTAGTATTGTGGTCCAGTGAGAAGAAAGTAACTTATCCCTTTCTGTATTGCTGGGACAAAATATCCAACACCCACAACTTAAAGGAGAGGTTTGTTATGGCCTATGGTTTTCAGAGAATTTAGTGTGTAGCCGGCTGATTCCAAGGCAGAAATATGGTAGAAGAGCCTCTGGAAGATAGCTGCTCACATTATGGCAGCCAGGAAGCAAGAGAAAAAAGGAGGAGCTGGGTACAGGAATACACCCTCCCAGGTTACACCCCAGTGACTCACCTCTTCTGACCAGTCCCCATCTTCTAACAGCACATTCAGCTACTGAACTCATCAATGGATGAATCCACTGATAAGTGTAGCGCCCTTGGGATCCAACAGCCTTCCAAACACATGAGACTTTCGGAGGACATTTAATAGCTAAACCATAATAGTGTGTGTGTGAGATGCAATCCTTGAGCATGCTTTTTTATTTTAAAAACTAAAATAACAAAACAATGAAGACAAAATCAAATACTTGTTACTCTCTTTGATTATCAATCTTACATTCTTATGTCTGGTGGACATTCTTATGTCTTATATTGTTGAAGATAATAGTATGTAATGTAGCAACCACTGTTAATTCCTATCATTTTGGTTTTTTGGGTCTTTTTCCAGTACCAGGAATCGAACCGACGACCTTGCGCTTGCCAGGCAGGGACCGTGCTGCTGAGCTAAATCCCCAGCCCCAATTCCTATCATTTTGTTGTGAGGTCATGGATCATTTTTCTTTTTGTGTTGAACATGTTTTTAAATTAGAAAAAGAGAGTAGAAAATAGGAAGAGAATGAAGATGCAGGAATAAAGAAATTAAAAGTGGTAACTTCATTCTTTTGCATGGAGATATTTCGTTGTTTGTTCCAACACTATTGGACCCGAAGTGATGACTCTATAAAAAATACTTGGGAATAACTATAACCAAAGAACTATCAAATTTATATTCTGAAAACTGTAGGAGGAAAGGTATGCCAAATCCATAGGTTAGAAGATGGCTAAGATAACAATACTCTTCAAACTGACCTACAAATTAAACGTAATCACTAAAAATCTTCCAGCTACTAAACTTCAGAAATTTACAGGATACTAAAATCCATATGAAAATTATAGACTTAAAATAGCCAAAATAATCTGCAAGGAAAAAAATGGAGGACTCACATTTTCCAATTACAGAACTAACTACAAAGCTACAGTGATATTTTTATATGTAGATTTTACACATTAAAGAAAACACTGTGACACTTGGGAAAAAATAGGCCTCTAGGGAAATGGAATTTATTACAGAATCCAGAAATACTACATGCCTTTGTATTCATAGTTAATTTTCAACAAGGATAGCAAAGTAGTTGTAGGGGGAGAAATAATTTCTTTTAGCAAATAGTGTTGGAACAAACAACGAAATATCTCCATGCAAAAGAACGAAGTTACCATATGATCTAGCAACTTCACTCCCAAGTATATACCTAAGGGAAATAAAAGCAGATGTCCACATAAAAACGTATACAGGAATGTTCATGGTAAAATTATTCACAATAGTTAAAAAGTAGAAATAACCAAAATGTTCACGCAGTCATGACCAGATAAGCAAAATGTAGTATTACCCATGTAATGAAATATTATTTGGTAACAAAAGTAAAGGAAGTACTGATACATGCTGCAACACGGGTGAACCTTAAAACAATTATGCCAAGAAGCAGATATAAAAAGGCACACATTGTATGAGTCATTTATATGAAATTCTAGATAGGCAAATCCATAGAAACCAAAAGTAAAATAGTGGGAGTTGTGAGAAGAGAGATGTGGACTGATTTCTAATGGATGGGAGATGGGGAATGAATGCTAATGGGTTTGGGGTTTCTTTTTGGGCTGATAAAAGTGTTCCAAAATTAGGCAGTGATGACAGATGTACAGCTGTGTAAATATACTAAAACCATGGAATTGTACACTTTAAATGGATGAGTTTTATGTTATGTGAATTATTTCTCAATAAAACTTTTAAAACACAATTACAACAAAAAAATTGTATTGAAGAGTCATCAAAATATGTAAATAAATCTTTGATAAAAGTAGAAGCCCTTCTTTGATAAGATAGAAAATAACAAGATCTAATTCTAGTACTGTAATAGTTAATTGTGGTGTCAACTTGAATAAGAAATGCCTAGCAAACTGATTTAGCACAGTTCAGGATGTGTGCGGATGACTGACATACCGAAGATAGTAGACCCACACTGGATGTGAGTGGCACCAACCAATAGACATGTAGCCTGGATGGAATATAAAGAGAAAGAAGGAAGTCTTACTTTTGTTTCTTCAGAGGAGCTCCAGTCTTTGCTACTGCCTTTGGACATTTGTCTCCAGGCTTCCAGCATACTCTTCAGCCTTCCACCACACACCCTTTGGCTGATACAGACTCACACAGGACTCTGCAATAGCTCCAGGTCTACAGGCAGGCATCATAAGCCTAATATATATGAAATGTGTTCCTCTAGGGAACACTAACTGGTACAAATACCCATCTTTTGAGGCAGCGATGACAGTAATATATTTTGAGGCGACTGCAATAGCAATAACAAATATGGCTAATGGATTTATTAGAGCCATTAAATAATGGGTTAATTATTAATTACTTCCCCTGAGATGAAGCTCCAGAATTAAAAAGCAGGCAAAAGATGCTTCTTTTTAGCAAGGCTAGAGATTTTGAAGGCAGTGCTTTCCCGGTATTCATGCAAAGTTGGCTATGCTAACAGAATCACTGCCAAGCATCTTGGACCTCTCTGGCTCTACTCTTTAGTCATTTTGTAATGCACTGGAATGGGGCAGGAAAGAACCTAATGATGTCTTATTCCTAAGGCAAAGCAAAGTTGGAAGCAGAATGCAAAATTGGTTAAATGATAAAGCACTGAAATACCTAAGCACTTGTCATCCTTGCCTTCCTGTCTTAACCCATCAGAAAAGCTACAATTCAGGAAGCATTTTCCCCAAAACATCTTCAATGACTGTCTACCTGAAGGCTGATATTCAAAACAATTGATGACTGGTGACAAATGGCCACAGAACAATCAGGACAGTTGGCATAGATGATAACAGAATAGACTCCTGGCATTCCGCGGCTGCAGCATACTTCAAAATCTCCTTATTGTTGTGCTGTGGGAAGCACCTACAGGTGGGACTGAGGGAGTAGCTCTTGGACAAGTAGCACAGGGGATGTTCATCTGTTCAACCAATAAATGAATAACTGTCCCAATACACAGCATCCAAAGTATAGGATACAGAGAAAAAGAAAGCAGAGCTTAAGGTTTTAGGAATGAGACTGAACAAGTGGTTGATGCTTGCATTTGTGGGACATTTGATTTCACAGCTAGAAAGTTCTCTTGGCAGAAGGTCCAAAAACACATGACTCCAAACTTTATTTTTCAAATTTAGACTCTAAAAAGCTATCTAAGTCTAAAAGTAGAACTACATTTAGGTTAAAATCCATATCCCCACCTTTTCATCATCTAAGAAGCAAACAAAGCAAACTGAGATTGAGATCAAATATGTCCTCCAAATAGGAGGAAATTAGATAAGCTAGAACCTCTGGCACAGACTTTAGTGGGCAGGAGAAAAACTTCTTAAGCTATATGCATAGGGCTCTGGAGCAATAAGAAAGGAGATGAGCCATTTTAACAACATTAATTTTTTATTAAATTTTCAGTCAAATATAATAAAATAACTTTTCTTTTATAAAACAATTTAAATACTTAAATATTTACAACATTGCAAGTTTGGAAGAAGACAGAGGGAAAAATGAAAAAAAGTATCTAAAAGACAACTTCAGAAAAATGAAGAAAAGTAACTAAAAGACAACTTCAGAAAAATGAAGAAAAGTAATTAAAATACCACTTCAGAATAAATATAACCTATTGGTATGCCTGGCTGGCCCTGACACCTGCTGCCAAAATGCCAGATCTTCAGCCTCACAATTACCAGGTCAAAATCTCATCCAGTATTCTCATGTCCAAGGGGGGAATTTTGGTGACCTCAAAGTATGTCCTGCAAAAGAGAGGGGTCAGCTCAGTATAAAATAGGCCAAAGCCAAACAGACTCCAAGAACAAGTGTGACATACAGCCCTTAGCTTCCTATCTTGGTTTAACCCAAAAGTAGAAAGGAAGACAAAAAGTATCTGAGACCATTTCTCAAGAGTATCATGTTTTGAGTGTCATGTTTTAAAGTATCCCCAAGAATGAGCATAAATGCAGCCTCAGTTATGGGTTGGTACTTACTTCTGAGAATACTTGGTATACACAGTCTTGAGCGTATCACAATAATGCAAAGTCAGCAAGATGTTCAGCCGTCTAACCAGAGGGTAAAGCTCAAAGGTGGTGTAGCCACTGTAAAACTCCAAGAGAGGAGCCTGGAAGAAGAAGCATGAACGGTGAAGTCTACCACAGAAGGCACACCCCCCTCACCATCTCTACTGACCCAGGCCCAGATTTCCTATCTGTGGTTGAGGCAGGGATAATATTCAAAACATTTCAAGGACTCATATCTGGCCTTGGTTTACATCAAAATCTTTTTCCAATCACTATATCTATATGTATCAGAAAGATGTTAGCCTTGATCACAGGTGTTTGAGTAAGCGGAAATCCATTAAAGTTCTAAATAACAGGATTGATTTTACAATTTACTTACTCTTAGGCACATAGCCAATGGCCAAACAAACCCCAGAAGAAACTTTGGATCTCAACTCAGCAGCTGACAGGAAATAAAAGCTGCTCCTCATCTGTAGCTCTGACTATCACTGAATATATACATTTTCTCACTGAACTGTAAGACTGCCCATTATGTAGCTGAAGCAATACAGTAATGATTAAGAGCAAAGTTTCTGGAGACAGACTGCTTCAGTTTAAATTCCAGTTCTAACCCAGATGTTGTGATGCACGCCTGTAATCCCAGCACTCAGGAGGCTGAAACCAGAGAATCGCCATGAGTTCAAGGCCAGACTGAACTACATAAGTGAGACCCTGTCTCAAAAAAACAATCAATCAGTAACTTCCAGTTCTACTAACAGTGTGGCCAGCAGCCAGTGATTTAACTTCATGGTGCCTCAGTTTCCCAATCTGCCAAATGGGGATCATTACAATAATTACATCATAGAATTAAGTGAAAAAATAGTAATCATGTAGAACAGAGTCTAGCACATAATAAATGCCCCCCAATTGCTATCTAGGATTACTATTACTAAGCTCTGTGTAGGATGCTGGGAATACAAAGACAAATAAGGTACTGCCCTTCAAGAGTCCAGTCTAGAGGAGGAAAGAGACATCTAAACAGAGGCTACAAAATGTATGGTCAGTGCTGTGATGGAAGTAAATATGGGCTACTTAAAAAGAGATCAGCAAGAGACATCAACTCTGGCTTGGAGTCACAGAACCTTTTACAGAGGAGGGGCACATCTGCAATGGGTACTGAAAGTCAAGTAAGAGTTCAACAGGTAGAGAAAAGAAAAGGAGTTTTTATAAGCCAGTAGTTTCCTAAGACTGCCTCATTTTTCCTGAGCTCTTTCAAGTATCTTACCTGGCACCCTAAACATTTTGTCTAGAAGTAAGGATGGGGGTTAAGAAGCCTACCGATTTTTAATATGGCTCCTGAGGTACTTCTGCAGGAAACCCAGGGCTCCCTCTGAATACTGTTTGGAAATCACTGCCATAAAGCTCAGTCATTGGCAACCTGAACAGGAACTAACATGGTATTCTGGGCACATTAAGTAAGATTAGACAGTGCCACTGTGGTAGGACAGACCCTCAATGCTTTACCTTGACTGTTACCAATAGCCTATGCACTGTTCACATCTATATAGTCTCCTTCATCTAATATTCCTTCTATACTGCTATACATACCACTACTATTTCCAAAACCGACAAAAAGGAGCATGTCCCTTTACCTCTTTGTGTGTGGGAGGTGGGATGGGATGCTGGGGATTGAGCCTTAGCCCTTCTGCATGATAATCAGAGGAGACTCATTTTCTACTAAGGCAGTGAGGGCTTTTTAAAGAGGAAAGTGACATCACACTCCTTCCTTAAGCTTTTCAATTATTGTTCCCTGTACCTCAAATATCTACTCTCATAAGTTTCTACTCATCCTTCAAAATCTAGCTAGAAATCACCTCTTCTATGAAGCCTTCCTTATCTATAGAAAAGGCACTGTGTATAACACAAAAGACTGTGGAGCTAGACTACCTGAACTCAGTTTAGAGCCAGCATTTAATTGATATTCACTGGTTTGACCACCAAATATTAAAACACAGGAATACTTCTCCCTATTTAGTATATAGGTTGCTGCCATAAGCTGCTCAACTTTCCCCTTCAGGACCCACTAAACTTCTACAGAATCTAAAGGTCAAAACCTGGCTCAGCATAGGGCCTCCAGCACCACACTCTGGAGCTATGGCCATGCCCATTCTGATTATATAGTAAATTTAGATTTTTGAACACCAGGTCTAGCTCTACCGCTTATTAGTTGTGTAAATGTGGAATGTCATTTCTTACCTATAAATAGGGATGATAGTACTGATTGTTGGGGTTGTAAAGATTAAATGAGTTTAATACACAAAGTACTTAGATTACTATGTAAGCAGTGAATAAATACTAGCCATTATGACTTAATTTTTTTCATTACAATCACTACCGTTTATTAAATGCTCTCTCTAACCTAAGAAATTTCAATAAGACTTTACCAGGTTTACACAACTGTTATAAGGATTGTTCTCAGCATATAGAAAGGATCTTTCTCAGCATACTTTTGCCATTAGTAGTGGCTAGGATTGCTAGATAGAAGGAGTTGAAAGGGGGTACCGCATTTGTGAGCATGCAGATGACATGATACTCTACATAGAAGACCCAAAAAACTCCACCAAAGAACTTGTAGATTGAACAAACAAATTTAGTAATGCAGCTGGATACATAATCAACACTCAAAAATCAAGGGCATTCTTATACACAAACAAAACACTCACTGTGAGAGAAATTAGGGAAATAGCATCTTTCACAATAGCATCCTAAAAAAATGAAATATCTCTAACTAGGAATATATATCTAGGAATATATCTATTGAAGGAAGTAAAAGATCACTATCTTGAAAATTATAGTACTCTGAAAAAGGAGAACAAAAAGCATATCAGAAGAAAGAAAGATATCACTTGCTCATGGGGAGGAAAAACCAACATGGGGAAAATGACTGTATTCCCAAAATTGCTATAAAGATTTAATGTAATCCTACCCAAAATACCATTAGCCTACCTCACAGAACTAGAGAAAACATTACTAAAATTCATTTGAAACTAGAGGAGACCTAGAATAACAAAAACAATTCTTGGCAACAGAGGCAAGACAGGGGACATCACAATCCCTGACTTGAAATTATTCTACAAAGCCACTGTGATAAAAACAGCATGTACTGGCAAAAAAAAACCAAAAAACAAAAAACAAAACAGAGTCAAGGATCAATAGAACAGATTAGAAGATGCAGAAGCAAGTACAAAGACACTCAGCCACCTGATCTTTGAAAAAGGGCTCAAACATGTTCACCGGAAGACAGACAACCTTTTTAATAAATAGTTTTGAAAAAACTGGCTTTCCACATGCTAAAACCAAAACTAGACCCATATCTCTCACAATGAACTAAACTAAATTTGAAATGGATCAGAGATCTAAATATCAAAACAGAAACAATAAATCTGCTCAAAGAGAGAATAGGTAGAACATTAGAAGACATAGGTGTAGCCAAGATTTCATGAACAAAACCCAGATCACACAGGAAATACTGCAAAGAATCAATAACTGGGATCTTGAATCTCATCTCATTAAAAACCTTTTTGCACACCAAAATAAGTCACCAACAGAGACAAAAGACAATCCACAGAGTAGGAAAAAATTTTATCTAGTATTCCCTCAGACAAAAGACTAATATCTAGAACATACAACAAATTGAGAAAACTTAGGCACCCCCCCACTGCAAATTTAAAGACTCAATCCAAAAATGGGTGTCTAAGATGAATATGCACTTCTCAGATGAAGAAGTACAAATGGCAAATGAATATATGAAAAAATGTTCAACATCACTGGTCATTCAAGAAATGCAAACTAAAATATAGCTGAGATTCTACCTCACTCCAGAAAGAATAGCAATTACTGAGAAATCAACCAATAACAAATGCTGGGGGCTATGGGGAGAGAGGAACCCTATTCCACTGTTGGTGGGAATGCAGACTGGTACAACCACTATGAAAATCACTGTGGAGATTCCTCAAGAAACTAGGATTAGAGGCCCCATCTGACCCAGCAACTCCCTTTCTGGGTATTTTCCCAGAAGAATTTAAAAAATCATACCATAGCAATACATGCATACCCATGTTTATAGCAGCACAGTTTTTAATACCTAAATCTTGGAAATAACAAATGTGCATCAACCAAGGAATGAATAAACAAGATGTGTTTTTTATACAAGGGAATAATACTCAGTCATAAAAAAGATAAACGTGAGACATTCCTAGTTAAATAGATGCACCTTAAGACCATACTCTTAAGTGAAATAAATCGGACACATATGTATAAATATTGCATTGTTTCTTTGGTTTGAGAAACCAAAAGTGTAAATAAGGACCAAAATGTATAATAGGTACTGTGGAAAAGAAGAAATTGTTCAAAAGAAAGGGAAACCAGGGAAGGGCCAGGGGGAAAGGCAGAAAGGGTAAAGAAAAAAAACCAAAAAGGACAAAATGGAAACAAAACTTTGTAAATATGGAGAGCAGGAGGGGTTGAAGGAGGACAGGAGATTGAAAGACAGCAAAAAAAAGAAACCAGGAGCTATCATGTACAGGTACAGGTACAAATTCCTTATGATGAATGTGATCATTATGCATATCTAAATTTTACCAAGAAACTTAATTTAAAACTCTAAAATATTTTTTAAAGGATGCATTAAAATAAGATTGGCTAAGATATGAAAAAAAAACTAATTTTTTTAAATTAAAAAAAATAAATTGTGTTATGTACATGTAACCACTATCCAGGATGTTTATACACTGCATGAACTGCAAATATGTACTAATAAAAAAAGTCTCATGTCATCACAGGCAGGCTCTTCAGAAGTTTGTTGGATTATGAAGCTTATAGTTGAGTTGATGTTAGGAGGTAGGGTCTGGTGAGCTGAGACAGGTCACTGAAGGCATGACCTCGAAGGGCTTATCTCTCTTCTTGGCTCCTTCCTCGACTCTCTGCTTTCTGGTTTCATGGTATAAACTGCTTTTCCTCCTCCATGCCCCTGTGCTATGCTGTCCTGCCCTGGAGCCAAATGACTGCAGACTGAAACATGAGCCAAAAAAAACTCTCCTCTCTTCAATTTGGGTGTCAGGTATTTTGTCCTAGCAATGAGAAAAGTGACTAAGACAGTCACCAAGAGCTACTCACAGCCACCGTTTATAAAACCCCCTATTCTTGTCCCAAATACTTACATAATTTTTGAGCTTCTTCATGTGGAGGGCCAAGAGGAAGGAGGCAGCAGCTAGCTTGGAAGCCCTAATATGGACGTAGTCATATTTCTGCAGGGTCATCTCACAGATGAACCGAGACAAGGTCAGTGTCGTCATGCTGACTTCGAGACACTAAAGACAGCAAAACACTTGGTCAATAATAAATTCAGAAAACAGTACCAGGCAGAAGACTCCATCTCCAGTCATCCCACCCCTAATGTAAATATAGCTCTTTGCTTTTTTTGGTGCCAGGAATCAAACTCAGGACTTTGTGCTTGCCCAGCAGGCGCTGGTGCCACTGAGCTATATCCGTGGCCCTATACTTCTTTGCCTGAACAATATACCTCTCCTGACACTGGACTCACCTTAAGGTCCTCACTTGAAAAGTAGACTCCTTATAGAGAGATTTTGAAACTAGCAGTGGGATTTGCAATCATTAGAATTTGAAAAGAAATTATCAAATTTGTACCTTCCCACCTCTCACTTCTGTAGAAGCTAACCTTGGAAAAGTCCAAGTTTCCCAACTGTGACTTGCACCTCATTCTACCCTAGGAAGTATTCCATCCTCTAAAACACTCCTGTTCCTTTTCTTGTTCAAAAAAAATTACAGGGGCTAGGGATTTAGCTCAGCAGCACAGCGCCTGCCTGGCAAGCGTGAGGTCATGAGTTCGATTCCCGAAACCAGAAAAAAACCAAAAAAAAAAAAAAATTGTAACATACACCATGAGAAAAATGCACAGTACACACTTGTAGGATATAATTAATAATTTAATGTGGCCTCCTCCATAACCAATACTCAAGTAAGAAAGAGAACACTGTCAGAATTCTTCCAAAACTTCTCATGTACCCCTACCTGTTCAAAGAATTACCCTCCCCCCAACTCTGCCTTTATCCCAAAATTTTAAAACACATGTGGAAACCTGAAATGTGCCCTCCTCTCCTCCACAGTCATCATTTTTTTTCAATACTGGGATTGAACTCAGGGCATTTGTAATGAGGTGCATCCCCATCATCCCTCCTTTAATTTTGAGATAGAGTCTCATTAAGTCATTAAGTCAAGTTGAGCTCAAACATGTGATACCTTAGCCTCAGAGTGTTAGAGTTACAGGGCTCTGCCACCGTACTGGGCTTACATTGACAATTTTTAAGTTAGGAAATTAGCAGCCTCTCTGGATAGAGAAGACTAACACAGAAGTAGAAAAATAAAGAAGTGCCACCTCTCTCTTACCATAGCATATCTGCGCAGAAAATGATAGGCAACTGGAATGCTGATGTCAAACTGGAGAGTCCGCAGGATCTTCATTTCCATGGCAAGCATCTCCTGTCGTTGATACATATCCTCACAGACATACAGGAAGTCATCCACAGAAGGTGGAATGGGCTCCTGTGGGTGAGAGGAGAAGCAGTCACAACAGGCATAATGCTCTCTCCTCTCTGCTTAGAGATGGAAGGCAGAGGGGAAGACGGGTGAAGGATAGGAGGCGACCATATTGCTTGCCACACACTTTCAGGGAAGCTCTGAAAGCCAGCTTCGGGTTGATCGGAGTGGTTCAACAGAAAAACAAAACCAGAGAAATGAAAGGGAGGCCTGCTGTAAAACTGCACCACCATCAGAGAGTGGACATAGCCTAATGGTATGGATTCTTACAGTATCAGAAGCAACATAAGTGGACACAGGGCTTGAGAGCAGCAATCTTCCTAATGAGTGAGAATTAGGAATTGGAGATCTACGGTCTGTTCTGGAGGAAGAAGGGAAAGAGGCTGCAGAAAGCAAAATGTTACAGATTACATCTAAAATGTCCCCCCAAAAATCTTATGTGTTCAGAGGTGGGGATTTGGGAAGGTGATAGAATCATGAGGGCAGTATTCTCATCAAGGGACTAATGTGATATTAAGAGACAGGGCATGCTTTGGAAGCATATATATCATACCATCATCCTCTTCTTCTCTAGCTCTTTCCTTTTCTCTCTGCTGCTGGCTGCCATGAAGTGGGCAGTTTTCCTCTGCCATGCCCTTATGCCATGATGTTTCTGTCTAATTTTAGGACCACAGCAATGGAACCAGCTGGCCATGGACTGAAACCTCCAAAACTACGAGTCAAATAAACTTTTCCTCCTTTAAGCTGGCTTTCTCATCAGAGGGAGCCAGAGATGGGGAGAATGTACTTGGGGTAGGACAGGAAGGTGCTGACACTTAAAGGTACCGGTGTTCTGGGAGTGTTTTCCCATCTCCTGTCCTCCAGAGATTGAAGCTTAGATTTCAGGAGTCCATTGGAGGCAACAAAACCGCTCATTCTTTTCTCTCCATCTCTCTTCTCATATAGTTTCAGATCACAGACTGAACCAAGCTGCTATTGCAGAAAAGGAAACTGAGGTCCAGTGAGGGTAAGGGACTTGGTCAGGCTCACATGCTACTCCTCATTTCTTCTCTACTCATCCCATCTCTAAAATTTCCATCATAAAAACATTTTGGTATTTTCCAATTTTATGAGAGGAAGACATCCCTCCACCATAGGATACAGCAGGGGCCCTTTGTCCTTGCCAAAGGACAGACTTTCCTAGTTTTAAGATCTGTTATGAAGTGCCCCTCATTTTCCTTCTCTTCTTCCTCTAGTCTCCATTCCTCCTTCTATTGACCAAGATTCAATCCTGAGGCTAAGGCATGGGGCATCTCCAGGAATAAGCCATGAGGAAAACATGAGCAGGGATGGGGGATGAGGTGAAGAGGAAAGGGAACAGGTATAGAGGGAGGTAATAAGGGTTCTGGCAGGGGACGGAGTGACGGAGAAAGCTGGGGAGGGAGGGAGGGAGGAGGCCAGTGTATGAGTTTCTCGTTGCCACAAGCACGGTCCATTGCTGGGACAAAAGACCTAACACTCACAAGTAAAATAAGAGGTTTACTTTGGCTCAGTTTCAGTGGATTCAGTCCATAGTGAGCTAACGCCAAGGCAGAAATAGGGCACAGCAGAACAGCATGGCACAGGAAAGCTGTTTAACACACGGCAGCCAGAAAGCAGAGAGAAAAGAGAGGTGACAGCAACAAGAATACACCCTTCCAAGTCATGAAGCCAGGGATGTACTCTTTTTAACCAGGCCACACCTCTAGAAGTGATACACTGTGGGAATATTGTAGAGCTAAACAATAACATTCTGCCTCTGGCCACCAAAACACTCATTTTCATCTTATGTAAAATTCATTTAGTCCCTCTCTAAGAGTTCCCTAAACTTAACAGTTCCAGCACTGCTGAACAGTCCAAGTCCAAAATCTCCTCCAAGACTCAAAGCAAACTCTTAGCTGTGAGCCCCTAGAAAAATAAAAAAGTTAAGCACTTCCCAATATACAATGGCATAGGTCAAACATCCTCTTTGCAAAAGGGAGGAATAGAGGAAACAGTCAGAAATCAGACCAATGAAAGGCTGAAACAAAGCACATGAAACATTAAATTCTATAGCTGCATGTCTAGCACCAGTGGCAGGTTTTGGTGAGATGTGAGCTTGAAAGAGCTTAGGCAGCCCAGCTCCTATGGCATAGTGGTTGCAGCCCACATGGCTTCTCTCTTGGGCTGGGTTCACTCACTGCCATCAGCATTCCTCCATAATGTTCATGTTCCTGGCATCTCCAAATTCCTAGGGTCTCCACTGCACCTTCAGCTTCCCTCTCACAGCTTTATGCACTGCCTTCTGATGTCTCCTGACAGGGACTGGGACCCTGTCACAAATTTTGGCCTGGCCTCCCAGGCTTTCTTCTGAAATCTGGGTGGTAGACTCTGTGATCCCATAATTTTTACATTCTGGATGCCTGAAAACCCAGCACCATGTGGATAATGCCAAGGTCAGCCACCAGTTTGAGCAGTAGCCACTCTCCCTTAGATCATGGTTGTGGCAGTTTCTGAGTGCCTAGATGCCTGAAATCAGGGATACATTTCCCTAGGAAGCCCTTAATAATCAGACAGCCCTTAATAAGTAGGCATCCCAGGGACACTTCTCAAATGAAAAGTTTATAGTTTTGCACCACTGAGCCTAGGACAGTTAGGGTCTTCCTGATTTCTGTTACTATTAAAATATCTTTCTTCTTGTCCCCGTACAAAATACTTGGCTTATTTTTAATATTAACCTTTTCAGAAATCACGTTCTCATTTACCCCAACTGTGCAAGCACTTCCTTTCTGGCAAAACTGCAAACTGTATAAATCATACCATGTACATGTACAAATTCCCTATGATTAATGTTATCATCATGTATATCTAAAATGTACCAATAAAATTTTTAAAAGTCATTCAGCTCTGCAGTTTGCTCCTGATTTTCGCTATAGATCTAGCTACAGTCAGCCAGCAGTATCTATGCCACAGCCTAAACTTTGAGCTTCCTTAAAATTTCCTCTGCCAAATTAGCCTGGTACCCTTAATCTCTATCTCCCACAAGATCTCAGGACATAGACAAAATATAGACAAAATTTTTGCCAGAGTGCAACACACATGGCCTCTAGTCTACCAATGGAGCTCTTGTTCCCAACTGAAACCTTCTGAGCACCTTTACTGTGCACACTCCTGTGAGTATTATGGTCTCTCTAGCTCCAACCAGAATCTCCCATCCATCTCTGCTTATAGCATTTCAGGACTTCTCTCGCTTATGTCTCTAAGTCCTACCCAATCCCTCTCACAAACCATTTCTTCTTTTTTTTTTTTTTTTTTTTTTTCTTTCCGGTACCAGGAATTGAACTCACAACCTTGAGCTTGCCAGGCAGGCGCTGTGCCGCTGAGCTAAATCCCCAGGTTCCACACAAACCATTTCCAAAGACTTCTAAACCACATGGTCAGGTCTAGTCAAAGCAATGACCTCACTTTTACTATCAATTTTCTCTATTAATCACTTTCCTATTGCTGGGAAAAAATACCAAACACTCACAACTTACAGGAGGAGAGGTTTATTTTGGCACAAAGTTTCACTGGATTCAGTTCAGGGCCAGTTGGCTCCAAAGTAGAAATGGTATGACAGTACATCACAGCAGAGGAAAATTGTTCACTGTATGGCATCCAGGAAGCAGAGAGAGAAGGTAGGGGCCAGGAATGATAATATGCCCTTCCAAGTCATGTTCCCAGTGACCCATCCATACTGACCATGCCCACATCCAAATGTGAGATATTTGCAGAATATTGCAGATCTAAGCTATAACACCAGCACACAATTAAATAAAACCACTTTGATCTTAACAAAATTTGCTGCCTCTCTGCTCTCAAACCCTAAGTTTTCATACAGTCAGCTTAACTGAAGAAAAAGGAGAGTTGAGCAAGATCAGTTAACACCTAGGAAAACAGACGGAATCAGAAAAGTTAGCTAGATGGATTACAGTCATGAAGAAAAGACCAGCTACTGCCATTTATACCACTAGTTCAAAAATAACTACTTCACCTGGGCCATTTAAAACTCACTGCCTACTCCACTAAACCATTTTCTCTTGAATGTCTCTAGCACCCTAGTTTGGAAATGCTTTGTTACATACGCAGATCAAGACACCATTAAATGGGGAAAAGGGCAAAGTAAAGACAATCACGCGGCAGGAAGATTTTAAAAGAACTACCCATTTAATTAGGGACACGTACATATACTATCCTTCACAGAGGAAATGGAAGAATCATGCTGATGTCAGAAAACATACATCACCACTGCCAGCCAGCACCAGTTTTGAGATTAAAAAAATTGATAGGAAAATATTATTTGTATCTATGTATATAATTTGATACCTACAGATACATATACACACAATGTGTACACACTTGTATATGTATATATGTGTGTGTGCATACAAATACATTATGCATTAATTGTATGTTTTGAATGGAACCCTGATTATGGTGGTTCTTCCACACCTTAGGGACTCAAGACTCACTTCAAATTTTGCTGCAATCAGAAAGGCAGTAGAACCAAGGAGTTGTAGCTTGCTCTTCTTGCACAGTGCCTTCATTAGGTAGTGATCCACCAATTTCACTGCCAGGTACAGCGTCTCATGACACAGGTCAAAGCTCATCTAGAGGAATACAAAAACAGGATAGGAATGTGAATAATGTGTGGAACCCATCTCAAAATAGATCTCACTACCTGAACTATCTGTGTCAACAAGGATGGTCCTGGCCAACTGGGACTCTGCTAGGCATGCAGAAGGCAAGTTGGTAAGGAGCCTATGTATATCTCCCATGCCTTTGAGGTCCACAGCATTATTTGTCCTTATATATTTGGGTAGATGACAAGTCTTACAAGCCACAGAGATACCTTGCTTCCTTTCTGAGCTCCCCGAGTGGACACATTCTCTTCCCTTAATCTCTAATATGCATTCTTACTTCCCTCCTTTTACTACTTTTTACAGTAAACTCTTAAAAGACATAATGTTAATTTAACTCTAAACTACACAGATTTGTTCATATAGTATATAATATTTATATAGTATTTTATATATAATATATATTTGTATTATATTTATTATTTATATTATATATTATATTGTTTATTAGTTATTTTTCTCAGTTGGATATGCTTTTAGAATAGGGAGTGTTGTGGCTTGTACCTAGATATGTGCCCCCCAAAGCCCTATGCACTTACAGGTGATGCTTTTTCAGAGGTGGCTGGATCAAGGGTGTATGAATATGGATTAAGCGTGATAACTAAATTACTCTACTGATTGGGTTAGCACAGTTCTGGGTGTGGATAATGGGAAGGTCCATCCTGTGTGGCACCAACCAATTGGCTTGTAGGCTTGGAATAAAAGGAAAAGGGACGACCAATGCTGCTGCTTCTTGCTTTCTGCCTCACCAGCCATGGACTTTCTCCTCTACCATGCTTCCCTGCCTTGGAGTCGGCCAACTATGAACTGAAACCTCTACAAACTGTGAGCTAAAAATAAATCTTTCTTCCTTTAATTTGTGGGTGTTGGGTATTATACCCCAGCAAGGAAAAAGTAACTAAGACAGGGAGCAATTACTAACAGCACAATCTGGAAGAGAATTACAGGATAGGCAAAGCCACAGTAGGTTTAAAGAATTACTAATATAACCCTCTTCTTTTCTTTTTCTAATTCTTTTATTTTAAAAATAAAAAAAACTGACAAAACAATGAAGACAAAATCAAAACAGCACAAAAACAAAAACGATACATGACCTCAAAACAAAATGACAGAAATTTACAATGGTTGCTATGTTACATACTGTTATCTTCAATGAAGTTTCTAATTTTTTCTAATTTATCATTTTCTTAGCTTCTGTGACTCCAAGAAACTTTCTGCTATAGTTCTAGTCCCACAATTTACGCTGGCCCAATACAGCATCATTGTAGACATTTTTTAAAAAGTACCTTTGGATGAATACAATCCTTCAAACACACAATCAAGTAGATAATAACTTTATATGAATCAGAAAAAGGTACCACATCAAGATATAGCACCCCCACAGTAAGAATGCACAGCTTGGCAAATGCAGTCTGAGTTACACTCCATATCTACACCCCGAAAGTCCATCTATCCTCAATGATACTTCTTCCTCCCAGCTCCTTAGCAGGCTTCAAGAACAGTGAAAGCTATCCTATTTCAACACCTTAACTAATGAATGAATATTCTCTATCATTTCCATAAAACATTTAGCTTCTGCTTTACAAACAATCAAATATAGCCCAATCTCTCTTTTAATGGCTTTAACAAAAAATTTTTCATCTTGGATGAAATCACCCTCCCTGTATTATTCACTTCATTGGGGCTTCTTTTGTTTTGCTTTTACTATCTTTTTGAGACAGGGTCTCACTATGCAGCTCAGGCTGGCCCTCAACTCACTATGTAGCCCAGGCTGGCCTCAATCTCAGAGCAATCCTCCTGCCTCAGCCTCCTGGGTGCTGAGATTAAAGGTATGTACCACCACGCTGGGCTTGGGCTTTCTTTTGTAGAGGCTACTTGTACTGCATAGACTCTATGTGACCAATGACACATGTTGGAGAAATGGATGCGTATTTGCATAGGCAAATGGTTATCAGAAGATGGTTGAATAAAACAGTTCAGCAAAACACATATTAAGTTTCTGATCACAAAACTACCAAGAAGTTCTAGCTGTTCCTGAAATATGGCCTTGATCTCAGAAATCTGTATTAGTTTCCTATTACTGCTATAATGAATTACCACAAACTCAATGGCTTAAAGTAACATAGATTCATTATATTATATATCTGGATGTCAGAAATCCAAACTGTGCCTTTCTGGGTTAAAAACTAAGGAGTCACCAGGGTTGTGTTCCTTTCTGGGGTTCTAGGACAGAATCCACTTTCTTGCTTTTTCTAGCTTCTAGAATCATCCCACACTCCTTGAATTGTAGCTTCTTCCACCTTCAAATCTAGCAATAACTAGCCTGGTCTTTCTGGTTACATCACCCTCTACATCCCCCTTCCACATAAAAGGATCTTGGTGATTTTACTGGGCTCATCATAGTCTAGGATATTTCCTCTGTCTTAAATTCAGCTGATTAGCAATGTCAATTACCTTTGACTACGTCAGGTAACATATCTACAAGTTCTGGGGATTAGGGTATGGATGTTTTATTCTGCCTACCATACTGTCCAAAGGAATAGCATATGAAAATAACCAGATGAGAAAAACTCATGTAGATAAAAGATAATGACTACTGCCTAAGTATCAAGAAACTGTGGTCAGGTAATTACAAAACCAAAACAAAAGAGGGTAGGAATGAAAACTAGGAGTTCTCTGAGGGTAAAACTTCTATGAGCAAATGACACAGCCAGAACTTATATAGTCATTCTAGTACCCCAGGTAAGTGCTTGGCTCCCCATGCATGCATGTTGGTATCAGATGATAACACATAAATATATGGGCAATATCTGAATGTATATTGAAAATCTAGAGTCAATATAATTTAAAGTAGCTATGTCAGTTATAGCAATTCTTCCTTTCAATGAATGTGAGCCAATATCCATCTAACATCATTCTACAGTTTGGAACTACATGGAAGAAGTCTAGTCTTTCTTGTTATAGCACTTCATTTATTGAAGACTTTTGTTATATTTCCTGTAAATCTTCCCCACTCCAGTACAATAACTTGGTGGCTGGGAATGCAGGGCAATAGTAGAGTGCTTGCTTGGCCAGCACAAGGCCCTGAGTTTGATGCACAGCACCATCAATAAATTTGTAAGTTATGTGACTTCCTCTAAATACCTGTTACATCATATACTTTTCATTCCCCTTAGCATCAGGCTCCAAATGAGTTTTTGTAACACTTAGGGAGAAATGGCAGCGCTCCATATAATTTCAGGCAGCTCCAACAAATGTGGACAAGATGCCCCCTCACCAGAACAGCACTATTCTCTCCCTCCCTCACAAGTGCCTCTGCCTAGAACACTCATCCAATTCTTCATAAATGGGTATTCTTATCTAGAGATAGAAAGAAACAAAGTGGAAGAGATAAAAGTACACAAAATATAAAAATACTCTTAGTCTTGATCTAGAAGAACAAATCTGATAAAAAAAATTGTTATTCATATTAAATGTAATGTATTAAACAATAATAACCTAAATCTAAAAGCCCCTAAAGCCTAGATTATTTTAACTAAAAGCAGAACATGAAATGAATTTATAACATGCAGATTATCTCAACTTGGTAGGAAATTAATGGATCAGGCCTATCAAAGGAGCTGGTTAATAAATAAAGACTACCTTCATGTCAGAGAATTACAGATCAATTTAAAAGAATGAAGTAGATCTATACAGTATTTATATGGGAACACTACTTAGACTTGTACTTAAAAGAAAAAAAATTGTAGACCAATGTATACATCATGATCTATTCAAAAATATATAATCCATACCCATAAAAAAGCTGTATTTCAGGCTGAAGCAAGAGGATCACAAATTCAAGCTCACTCTGGGCAACTTACTGACTTAAACAGGCCTTGCTTCAAAATAAAAAGAAAAAAGGGGGTGGATGGGGAGAATAGCTCGGTGAATAGGCCCTGGATTCAATCCCTTGTACCACAAAAAAGCTGCATTTCTCTATATACTCTATGCAAGTATATATATGCATGAATGTATTACTTGTATAATTTTTTATTTTAAAGAAAATAAAAATAAGAAAAAAACATTAAAAATGATACAGAATTTCCAAACAAGATGCTAGGAAATCAACAATTGTTGTTATGTCACATACTGTTATCTTCAAAGTAGTTGCTCAGATTACCAAATATAAATGCACCAAATGTTAATTACCAAACGTAAAATTGGTCAAAAAAATTAAGCATTAACTGTTCCTTTCAATAAACCAATAGATATTAGTAGTACAATTATCTTAGCTATCATATATATATATACACACATATATACACATACACACATATATATAACTTTTTCCCTTCCTTCATTCTTTTCTCCTATCCCTAGCAATCTAGAGACCATATGCATCAGTGAAATAAATGAGACCCACATCTGTAAACATCATAGCCTCCCCAGTGTAAAAAACTGAAAGAGTAAATAAAATCCAAAAGGTACAATAGATATTGTGAAAGGGAAAGAAACTACTTATATAATTTTTTAAACAAAGGGCAGCCAAAAAGTTAATAAAATGATGATAAGTTAATACAATGATAAGATACGCAAAAAGGGTCTGGAATGACACACCCTAAATGATTTAGTTGTTACCCCCAAAGAGTAACAGGAGTATTGCAACAAAATAAACTTAGCCTAAACCAGCCTCTGTACTTGAACAGGAAGTTTAGACCAACGTAGCCTCTGGGAACTACAACCTGCTTGATACACAAGCAGGCAGTAAGTTAACCCTATATCCTTGTAACCAGGTAACTGAAGCTCAATCATACAAGTTGAACCTCCAGCTAATCAGAAGATAAAAGGTGCCAAAATATGACCTCCTAAGGTAAATGTCCTCTGTGGCCAATTAGGTTATTTCTGTATGTCTCTTCCTTGTCTCTGGCTATAAATACAATCTGCATATGCAGTGGTATTAGGTATTCTAAACATGTTGAGTCCAGAAT